GATAAATGTCAAGGTTACCTATTTGCTTTTAATAAGCATTTGTGACCCCATTTTGCATAGATATGTCAGTTAAGGGGTGACATATCTAATCATGGGAAATGAACACAGACGTAGGTGGGGCTTAGAATATTTTGACAGCAATTGCAGTAGATGAGTAAGACGTCCAAAATAAAGAGAAACCCCTGTATAGGACCGTCGGGTGAATATGTACAGAACACACGTGGGTTAAAATTTCCTGCCAGCCGGTCCAGCTTCATGAGAATGTGGGACTTTAATTAAAGTCCAAAGAAGACAAAGAAAACAAAAAAGACCAATAATTATATATAAACAAATATATGTATTAACAACAAGTTACAAGCACATGGACAGTTACATTGAGTTTGTGTGGTGAATAATATTATGTGTGTGTATTGTGGTGAGTATTCGTACGTACGCGTATTGGTATTGTTCTTAGTGTGTTCCCAGAATTTGGGAAACGCTGTATTGGTGAGAGCTCAAATGAAGAGAAAAGAATTACCCCACCCCATAAACGCCTGAGGAAAAAAAGAGATCGAGGCAAAAGGTCACCCAGTTTTTATAGCCAGGGGAGAGAGACTCCTAGTGAAGGATTAAGGAACTAAGGAGGAGCTAACTCCGACACCCAACTTGGCCTGATATGCCATATGGGATTTATTTTAAACCAGATCTATGTTTTTTTCAACCACATGCAATATATATGGAGTAATGGATAGCGGCTTGGATTGAGGAATCGCAGAGTCGAGTTCGAATTCCAGTCGAATCCATTACATTCACTTACGTGCTAATACCCTTGGGAAAGGTATGAATCCTCGTCATCTCCCTCCAGCTATGGGTAAAATAGCAGGACAGACTGGTTTCTATAGCCTTGGATGGCAACTGGTCTAGGAGAAGGACAACTCTGAATTCAAAACTGCGGAGGGTCGTTTGGGAACCTTGTGGCATTCGGTGCACCAGGTTTCTGTATTCGTCCCTCCAAAAAGTGTGGCTGGTCCTGCACGAGACCTTCACCACTATAATCAAATCTCATGTGCCGATGTCGGTTTCCTGGAAACTTATCGGCCTGACCCTCATACGTCGAACTCGACAGGAGAGTCGATTATATATATATATATATATATATATATATATATATATATATATATATATGTTTCATTAAATAATATACGCAAGTGTTGTCTATTTTATGTAAATTCTTTTCATAACGTCTGATAAGCTTAATAACATTATCATTAAACGAAGAAAGAAAATCACAATATTGATGCATATTTTTCAATCCAAACTAAGCTTTCGGTTTACATAAGCCATTATCAAAGATGACAATTACAGTACAATATATTAAGCAATACACGGGCAAGAAAGTGATAATAGCCTGTTTCTGTTTACATGGATGGTTTCCAAGCAACGATAAACACGTGCATATAAGACGCTGGAAGCGAAAATCGCACCGCAGCTTATGACGACACGCATGACCACGCGAGTGGGAATACGAGAAGTATTAAGTATGGGAAGCCGTTGGTATAAACCAATGGCTTCTGTTACCAATTATAGGCATTTAAGAATATATGTGTAGATTTCATAGTGTCTGGTAAGGTTTCAACTGTTTTATGTATATAGCTTCAAGAATTTTTAGTTATTGTTTATTGTTTTCAAATTTAAGTACAGATGTGTTTTCAATGAGGATTTTCCGGAATTGTGTATGCGGCCAGGCGTGATGTTTTTAACATTTTTAGGCATTTAAAACACAAACCCGTATCTAGCGTTCTGGTTTGAGTGTAAATCGGATCAATATTTCTATCTTTTGAAGATTCATTTTAATATTGTGGATGTGCGGGTGGTGTAAAGAATCGCGGCTCGGGGTACGGACTCGGAGAAGTCGAGTTCGAATTACTCAGTTCGTGATATCAACTTACCTGTAGCCTTATTGTTGAAACTTGACTAATGCATGGAATAATAATGCAACACAAAATGTACTTAGAACAAAATGTATTGAAACAAGAAAGTGTACACAATATTTACATATAGTCCTGGTAAGACCGTTCCTGGAGAATGTGTTGACTGAGTCGCAGTCGGGCAGAGTCTATGGTTGAATCTCTTGATTCCTTCCTCTCTTCCCGGTACCAACCATATTTATATGGTCGGTACTCCACTATGCAAATTAGGTGGATCCTACCACAACACTTATGAAAGAAAGGAATCCACTTCTAGCCATGGGTTAAATGCTATGGCATGCATCTGAAAAAAATCATTGTTGTTCTCAAACAATTGTCAATCCAAAGTTCACTCGCAAACGTATACTCTTACAAGCTATTCACCGTGTGATCCTCGATAGAATCCAAAGAAGAATCAGCAACATTGTTATACCGGAACATACCTATTCTATTGTAAATAGACTCTCCCAGATATAATAAGTAGTAGTAGTATCAGTCGCCAGGGGGCTCAGAGTGGAGTTGGTGTGTCAGTCGATGTCTGACATTAAAGTATCATTACCACAACTAGATTGCTGCGTCATTAACTATTATTTTAAGTTCTTAACGTTTTGTACGTCGAACCTATTTTAGGACCGACTTAGTGAAATACAAGCCTCCACTGTGAAAGCTACTCTACAACAAACATAATTAGTCTTGATCTGGCGGCTCGGGTTCAGTCACTTTCCCAGCGACGCAAAGTTGCCTCTCTGTGTCTTTTCTATAAATACTTTCATGGTAATTGTTCGGATGAGCTCCTTCTTCTGATACCTAGAATTTTTTTTAATTTAAGTGCAGTAATAGACTAGCGTCGAGATCTCATCAATTTGCAGTTAAGATATAGGCGTAAGTTCTAGACTAACAATTTCTTTTCTTGCAATTCTTGCTTGAGAAACTTGGTCCCGGCTCCATGCTTTTCAGTCAACTTTAAACCACACAATGTAAATCGCTATCTACTGTCATCCTGATTACTCTTTTCTCTTCCCGCTTATTGTTGATGTTTCTGTTCTTAATTCGCCCGCATACTGTAACCGCTTCTGTCTTAGTGTCTTTATTGCCTTGCATGGTGTGATGTCGATTAAAATAAAAAGACCTTCAGCTTTAACTTATCAACATATTGTTGGCATATAAACCGTAAAAGAAAAACAAAACAATCCTTTTGAATTTCTCACTGCAAGCATTTTTTATGCATCTTGATTCCTTGGGGGAGAACCCCTCTCCAGCGGACGCTTTTTCGGACGATCCTCTTCAGCTCGGCCAATGTCGTGCCAGCTTCCTTCACCTCTGTGTCAACACTTCGCTGAGTTGTGTTGCAGAAGATGTGGAGAAGACTGGCCTTCAAATTATCATCGGGAAGATGGATGAGGTTAAACAAAATACAACAGACCTACTGCGACCGCATAGGTGTGGGGATGAAGTCATCAAGTGCCAGTCAGTCGAGTCAGTACTTTCTGAGCGACTGTTCGGTTAAACTTTCTTCCTACGGACGGGAGGAACCCGAAGGAGGCTACGCCGAAGGGCGGATTCTCTTTCGGGAAGGTAAACCGACCCTGAACCCGTTTATACGGGTTCAATGGGCATATTTTTGGCCGAGCCCACGGGCTCGGAATGCCCACGTTAAAAAGGCCTTGTGCCACATAACACCCTCGTGAGGGGTGACTGAATATCGTCATCAAGTGCCAAATCAACAAAGACCGACACGCTTTCAACTCTCTGCGGCTAATCTGGAGATCAAAAGCGGTCTCATTTTACAGCAAGAATTATAATCTACATTAAATTAATTCAATCTTTTACAAACTACTGACGTTCTGATCCCCACTCTCTACCAGAATTCATTTAACTAATGCAGAGGGAAGTGACGGAAGTCCCAGGCAAGGGAATGCGGGTTTTGGTGCGGTAAATGGCTGTTGCAGTTTCCACCTTGATGTCCTTGAACGAGGAAATCCGCTACCAGTCATACAGTCAAGTATAATGTCTTGCAGAAAAGACTCAAGAAAACCGTTTCACAAACGCAAAGAAACTCCTGAACAAGGTGAAGCATCCAGGGACAGTCTGGTTCTCTCCTGATAAAAAGAATGCTGCACAACATCCAGAAGACCAGATATCTTGCTTGCAATCCATATGATGTTTTGCGTGTTATGAAGTTTCCATAGACTGTGATGGTTTTTGGGTATGTCTCCTGTGAGGGGGATGTCATGCTACCTCACATCTTTAAACAAGGTTACAGGCTCAATTCGAATGGCTATATGGTGTTTCTGAACATCGTGGTCAAGCCTTGGTTGGAAAGGGTGAATGCTGGAAGACCATATGTGTGGCAGCAAGATTCACCTCTCTAACTCCACTGATTTTAATCGCATAGATTGTTATGCGTGGGACGCGGTTGAGAAAGACAACGACCGCACTGCTTGTAATACCAAGGGGGACCTGAACGTCAGGATTAAGGTCACATGTGGCAGATTCCGCAGTCGGATCGAGGGCGTGGTAGACGTTGTGGGTGGCCTTTTAGAATAAATTGTTGTTTGTTTTTTTTTTTTAATTATTATTATATCATGTATTCTACTTTTATATTTTTCCAAAAAATTGAATTTCGGTCTATATATTGACTTTACGAATACTGTTAAATTTAGCACAGACACCCTGTATAACTCATACAAGGTCATAAAAAGCAATCGGTAAAACGAGGAGACACTACAGGATATGCTTTGTGTATAATCTTTTCTTAATCAGGTCACAAAGTTATAGTATCGAACCCACTATAAAGGGTTCGTGTCGCAAAACGTACTGTGAATAAATCGGTTGAAGTTATGGTAATTTACCACGCACGCATGGACTCTCCCAGTTATAAATAGGAGCAGGTACTGCCTTTTAGATAGGGAAGATTCCAGCAGTCAGCTCTGACAGTCGGACGGAACATTCTTGCTGTAACACTCTCATTTGTATATTTTTGTATTACGGTTAATATATTTGTTTAACACAATTCATTTCCTGTATCTTCATTTCTGGCCCTAACAAGTTCACAACAGATAGATAGATAGATAGATAGATAGATACATAGATACATAGATAGATAGAAAGCAGCCTGCGATAGATAGATAGATAGATAGATAGATAAAGAGCAGCCTGAGATAGATAGATAGATAGATAGATAGATAGATAGATAGATAGATATAGCCATTTGAAAATTTGAGATAGTGTTATGGCTATATACCAACGCACGCATGGATTCTCCTAGCTATAAATAGGAGTAGGTACTGCCTTTTGGAGAGAGAAGTTTCCAGCAGTCAGCTCTGACAGTCGGACCGAACATTCTTGCTGTAACACTCTCGTTTGTATATGTTTATATTACTGTTTCTAATAATATATTTGTTTAACTCATTTCTTCTCTTGTGTCTTTATTTTGGCCCTAACAGATAGATAGATAGATAGATAGATAGATAGATAGATAGATAGATAGATAGATAGATAGATATGAAATAATTGAAACAGAGATAAGGTGATGTGAATTTGATTAGTTGATATGCAAAGAATGGGACAGATAGATAGATAGATAGATAGATAGATAGATAGATAGATAGATAGATAGATATGAAAGAATTGAAACAGAGATAAGGTGATGTGAATCTGATAAGAATGGGACAGATAGATAGATAGATAGATAGATAGATAGATAGATATTGAAAAAGGTATTTGAAATGGACTCTCCCAGCTATAAATGGGAGCAGGGACTGCATTTGGAGAGGGAAGTTTTCAACAGAAAACTCTGACAATCAATTAATCCTGTTGCGAGTGTTTTTGGAACAACTATAAGAACTAACATTAAATGTTTCCATGTCTAACTATATTCACCATATTCTTAGAACCGTCCTGAAATAATTTGTTTTTTTTTTTTTTATGTTATTTGTTTTCATTTATCACTGTTAGAATCTTAATAAAAATCCTGACCGAGGAAAGATTCTCAGGGAATAAAAATTAAATCCAATACACTGGGCCGAAATTTTGAAATGCCAAAATATAGCCTACAACCATTATTATTCGTCTTCCCCTCCTTGCTAACCGAAGGTGAATGGGTTTGGAGCATGGCTGAGGCTAGGAAAGCAAGGAGTTGATAATATTACACTGAAATTAGCGAGCAACTCACGTGTGGTGGCGATAAAATACAACGCGCGCACGAAAAAATGGCGCGCGTTTCGAAGAAACATCATGACAAGATGGCGGATGTGCCTATCGAACCGCTATCAATTTTCTAGCCTACAGTAAATGCAACGTTGTTCAAGATATTTATTCGCTGCTTCCGCGTCGCTCGTTATGTTATCGTCGTTGCTCGTATTATACCGAATTTTATTCTTGATTATTTAGTGTATTGTCTTCTTTATCTGTTATACTAGGGTTTTATTTTTAAGTGATCTTACGTTCAGTCTATATAGGAAAGACTCTTTTAGATATATGCTTTGTTATTCTAGCCGTAAGAATTTATTTTATTTTTAATATCCCATTCTCTATGCGTCATGTCGTTTCCGAAGGATAAAGATATTAATAAGAATATTATGAGTCATTCGTTTTAAGATGGATCTTTTGTCGATACGCCCACATGAACAAACACGCAAGTGTGTGGGGAGGGTGTAGCTTATTTTTGGAGGTTCAGGAAACATTTGGCATTCATTGACCGAAAAATTAATATTAATGTCGGTTGAAATTTATCAAATATTTCCGTGAAAACATTTTTCTCCAGGAAAATCGATATACCTCCCCAAGTCCTTTAACTGTTTCTTTTTAATCAATATCATCCCATGGAAGGCAATAAAGCGTCTAAGACACAAGGGGTTACTTGGAGTGGCAGAATTAGGAAGAGAAACATTAATAATGAGCGGGAAGATTGAAGTGTAATCAGCAGGAGAGTAAACAGAGATTGACATTGTATTTAATTAAATTTAACTGGAAAGCCTGGGACCGGTAGAGAGTTCCACAAGCGAGAAGTGCGAGAAAATAAACTGTTAGCATAGAACTTACGGTTACATCACGACGTTAGGCTAGTACTGCGCTTTAATTTAAAAAGTCTATGTATAACAGCGAAGAGAGATATTTATTTGGAAAAAATAAAAAAAATGTGATATGAGACCAAAATGAGGGATGGAGAAAAGGACGGTCTTCTTCTCTCTTAACATTAAAATTCGCTAGTCACAAATATACAACAATATTCTTTACAGCAAAACAACGTATTCATACATACCTTTCTTACTACCTCCACCATAATACCTCATTGTCTCTATGAAGTTCCTAACTAGTCCCCTTCTGTACAATTCGTTTTCTGTGGGGTGGGGAATACAACAGCTATTTAAAAATAATAGCCCCAATTATTATTTACAGTATAATAGCGAAGAGCGATATTTATTCTGTACTCTACAGAAATGTGACACAAGGCCGAAAAGCGGATTGGGGAAAGGTCTTAACTATAACTTAGCTAGCCGCAAAAACTGACCCAGTCGTACGAACAATAATCCTTACACCAAAACAACACATTCATACTTACTACAATCACCATAATACCTCTTTCTCTCTATGAAACAATAGCGAAGAGCGATATTTATTCTGTTCTCTACAGAAATGTGGCACAAGGCCAAAAAGGGGATTGGGGAAAGGACGGTCTTCTTGTGTTTTAACTATAACTTAGCTAGCCGCAAACACTGACTCAATCGTACGAACAATAATCCTTACACCAAAACAACACATTCATACTTACTACAATCACCATAATACCTCTTTGTCTCTATGAAACAATAGCGAAGAGCTCATCCTAAACAATCGGGATGAAAGTATTAATAGAAAAATCATAGATAGGTAACCTTACGACGGTGGGAAAGTGACTGAAGCACAGTTGCCAGATCTGGATCAATAATTTTGCTAGTTCTTCTATTATAAAGGAGCTCAAGGTGAATAACAGGGGCACGGGACCATCTATAGCAGTAATATTTTAAGTATGGACGAATGGTAGACATAGATATGTAAGATAGATTCCGGAGAAAAAATTCTTTCGCCCGACAAAGCGGTCCATCTTTTTTTAGCAGCTGAACTAGCAATTAAACACAAAGCTCTTTCTTCTTCTTCTTCTTCTTCTTCTTCTTCTTCTTCTTCTTCTTCTTCTTCTTCTTCTTCTTCTTCTTTTTAAATACATGTTTTTGTATATATATATATATATATATATATATATATATATATATATATATATATATATATATATATATATATATATATATATACATCATCAAAATAGCTGAGTAAGGAAAGGAAAACTATTTATTTTTCTTTATTGAATGTCAGCCCATGACATTCATCTTTTCTTCTTTTGTTTTTAGTCTTCCCCAAAGACAAAGATTTCGATCCGTTCGAAATTTGATCCTGAACTTCGGCAATGAACTCGTTAACCTTATTACGATATGTTTTCTTTGGTAGAATAATTTCGTTTCTCTCAATTTTAAAGACGAATTTGCCTGTGCGAGCTCGCCTTATTTAATCACTTCCTGTATTAGATTAGTTTATGTCGGTTACATCTGCAACGGTACTGCCTTTGTCAGCAAAAATATGAAGTCAATTTCATTGTTTCTTTAATAACTGCTGACAAAGCCAGCGCCGATAAAGAACAGATATCACAGAAGAGATGAAATGACAAAAAAATAAATAAATAAATGAATAAATAAAGAAGCAAGCAGGACAGATAAGAAGAAGCAAAGTCAACAGGGGTAGAAAATATGACTTGATTAGAGTCTAATGCTTGGCAAAGAGGATATAAAATGACAATATAAAAGATGAAGTGAGGAGAAAAAATCGAAGCCTTTATTGGAAGAAAATGGCAAAGAAAAGATAACCACAGTCAACATGGAACATCTTACCGAGACCATTTTTCTGAGTACTCGAGAACTGGCTCTGGGTGCTCATTTAAATATCGGACAGCTAATAATATGATTTAAATTTAGAACTGTAATTATATATATATATATATATATATATATATATATATATATATATATTTTTCAAACTGTAGATGTTATATATATATATATATATATATATATATATATATATATATATATATATATTTGTCTGACGATCGCTAAAGCGTGAAACCCAGGGTCACAAACTCACATCTATCCAACCAAATATGTTAGCTCTTTCTCTGATATTGAGCGCTTTCTAATAAGTACTGAGGATATAATATATAAATAATTATACATACTTATATTTATTTATATTTATATACACTTTTCACACACACACACACACACACACACACACACACACACACATATATATATATATATATATATATATATATATAACAATTATTTCAAACTGTAGATGCCGCATGCCTCTTTCTTAAAATTATCGATGAAATTGGAAATATATCGGACCTTTCAAAGTATATGTCTTCGTTCTGTAAGTATTGGGGTTTGCAGAATTTTGTGCACTTAACCAAAGTTATTACATATTGTATTCTGTTACAGTAGTGCGATTAGGAGTTTATAAGGTCATCCTTGTTGATAGATTTACAATTAACTTTTACTTGAATGTTCTTAATAGTTCTATTTAGCATGATATCTAGGAACGTCAATGCGTCATTAGTTTCTGTTTACAAAATAAAATCTGTTGTGCATCCAATGCTATAGAAATAAACTTTAGTGTGCCGGATTCGTTCCATTCATTTCCGTACAAACACTCCTTTGAAAGGTATTAATCTATTCTCTCCCCCTAGTTATGAGTTAAATAGTAGAGATTATGTCTGAAAATCATTATTATACTCAAAATATTGTTAATGCAAAAATGATGCAAAATATTGTTAATGCAAAAATTATGCAAAATTTTTTGATGAAAGTTTTATTGGCCAAATATCGGATTATTCTTGTCATCCAAAATATGCTTCAGTTTTAAATAACCTACAAAGATTTGATAAGCACTAAGAAAAAAATCAAGCATAGTCAAGTTAGATAGACATTAGCGGAGGAAATATCTAATCAAAAATTGTTAGAAAATACCATGGCTAAAAAACCTTGTAGGTAATCAAGACCAATACCCACAAAATTCAGTCATTTACCAACCGATGTCTCAGGAACATCCTTAATATCAGGTGGCCGCAATTCGATTCCAACGAACAACAGTAGGACAGGACCAGACAAGCTCCAACCGAGATTGACATCAAGAAACGGAAATGGAGATGGATCGGCGACACCCTACGCAAGCATGCTTCTAATGTCCCTATGCAGGACCTTGACTGGAATCCACAAGGTACGCGAAAAGTGGGTCGACCAAAACCGACTTGGCATGAAGTAGTGATGCAGAGGTGAAAGTAGCAGGCAGAACATGGGCCGAGGTGAAGAAGTTGTCTGTTGTAGAGGTGTTGTTGCGACCTATATTCCCCAAAAGAAATCAAAAGGCATAATATATATATATATAAGATATATATATATATATATATATATATATATATATATATATATATATATATATATATCTTTATATATATATATATATGTGTGTGTGTGTGTGATAGACATCAAGAAAAAGGTTCAAATTACGGACTGTAAATTGGAGATGCTAAAATCAAGCAAGTGAGAAATGTTGTCACGGAAAATGGAAAATTACCAAAAAACCAAAGGCGTTTTAGAATAGCGAAATATACTTTCCAAAAACTAGAAAAGTATAAAAAATAATAAAAAACTCGTTGTGAATAAAGAAAAGACGGCTGCACCATTTAATATCGACAGTATTATATGGCAATGAATTCTGGACAATTTCCCCACAGACAAAGCAGAAATGTAGTTCTACTGACAGACTATATAATCAACGAAGTTTTAAGTAAAAAGCAATATATATATATATATATATATATATATATATATATATATATATATATATATATATATATATATATATATATATATATAAAAAAAGGAGAGGAACAGTGTAAATCAGCGAATAACTTGACAAAACAGGCATTGGAATGGATAGTAAAAAGAGAAAAAAAATGGTTAAGACCACCGAAGAATTGTTTCTGAGAAATCATTGTTATCCGCAAAAAAATTGTTAATAAAAGAATTTAAATTGTTAATGCAAGATTCATGCACATAAAAAAAACGAAATATTCTTGCAATCTAACATATCTTACTTATTATAAAACGCAGATTGTGTGTGTGTGTGTGTCTGTACGTTTATA